AAATACAGTCTGCATGGCTCAACAACATATTATGTGCCTGCTTTCCAGATAAATCGTTTGTAAGATCATCAATTCTAGCAATAGTGAAATTTGGGGGAGACTGGTAGGATCAGAATCACTGTGGGCTCCTGATTTGCAAGCTTTTTATGCTTGTGAATTTGAAAATTATTCCTATTATGGTTATGACTCTGAAAATTATTCCTTTTACTTCCACAATTTTCCTTAATCATTCGAAGGATGCGAGCAATGCTAGCAAAGGCAGCATTTTTTTCTGCATCCCTAATTGTCTTTGAGAGGTGGTAATGAGTATATTCCATTTCAGTCTCATGTTGGGTGTTCATAGATAAAAGGAACTGGAGTTTTGTTCTTTTGTTGCTGCATTATCTGACCCTGAAGATCAATGGTACTGTTAATATATAACCTGTCTCTATAAGGAGCAGTTAAAGGTGGTTATACAGGATCAGACAATCTGGAACAATGGTTTCTCCAAGACCATTAATCCTGTGTTGACAAGCCATTGCAAAATGCGGAAATTCAACAGACTGATCAGCCATCTATTGGCATTTGATGCTGCTCTATTAGTCATGACACAAACAAATCCTTGGTGCACTGCATTAAGACCATAGTGGTTCATCACACTAAGTCAAACAAATGCTTCATATCCTTAAAAAGTTTGATGAAAAATGCTGCTTTAAGATTTGTGTGACCAGAAAATATAGCATTACAGGATTGCTATAGTCTGTGACATTCTTGAGGCAGCCGTACCTCGTGTCAGTAGGGATATAATTAGTGCCTTTTAGGTGGTTAGTTTTTCTTTGTTTCTTTTTCCATCCAACTGTGATTGTGAAGGCAGTTTTGTGATCTGAAGTCATGCCCACTGGGAACCAGAATTAGACTGCCAGAACTTATTTCACTTAGTACCTTATCAGCCATTGGAGAGCAGGAGATTTTAAGCCCATCTGTCTTGGCTTGATTTAAAGCCAGTTCCCGGAGGTAAATGAATAGCACCCAAACAGTGCGTTACCCACTGTCCTGGAGACTTCTTTTTGTTTAATGTCATCATGATACAACTGCTCACTTTGAGATAACTATTTCCAGTCATGCAAGTGAAAAAACAAGAAGCAAATTATTCCGGAAATATGTTTCAATAAAATGTTTCAACTTTGTTTCAATTTTACCTGTGCAAATTATAAAACGGTTGCCACATCACTGGTTGATGCTGCTACAGCTGCACATTTTCCTGAATCACATTGAATTAATATTTCTATTTCCCAGTGTTGTGTTTAGCTTTGCAAGACTCAGAGTGCCAATGCTAAGCAGCTCAATGTATCACATTGAATTGCAAGCACTTGCCAATCCAAATAAAACTGGTCAAAGACTAGAATGTTGATCATATATTGTATCTACAAGCCACCAGAAAACTCTGAAATAATATCACCCCCTTTCAACTGTTCTGGTTTACAGTTCATGTGTGTTTATCATATTCTTCAAATGCTACATTGCCTCAATTTTATAAGAAAGGGTGATAAGAAGATTTAATCATATTTTACAAAGATTAGTGAATGTACAGAATATCCCATCCCTCTTCCCTGCCGGCCTTGCTATACAGAGAATAGGGGCTGTTTCAGCAAATTTAGGACAGAGCCAGATAATAAGTATCTAAAACAAAATCTGATGTGTGTGCCCTGAGAGCTACTATGGAATGTGGTGTTGCTGAAACTAGAAAGGTAAAGGTCACAATGCATTTATTGCTCCTGCACATCCCTTATTACCACAGCAGGAAAAAAAACAATGCAGTGCCTCAAACAGAGAGATGTATTACCTAGTCATTATTTATTTTGATGTCCACTTACAGCTATTAACTTGAAATTTTTTGCTCAATTCTAGTCAATTTCTGTTCATATTTGAACAGTGTTGTATTTGTATTGAATGTTATCCTCTGTATGTTTGTCCTAAAGTTAGGGATTAAGTTATCAGTTAGGTCATGCAGATTTATTGACTGAGCATTTAAACACAGGTGACAGAGCCCAATAACAATGAATTAGATTAAGAGAGTCGACAAAGCAGCTAAACAAAATGAAACTTTTTGTTGTGTTTCTCCAACCAGCTCTCTCATGTTTATGCTTCCAGCACAGAACCGGGAGTACACTTTATTCACGATTTGGATGTCTGTCCTATAAGACTTGCCCAAAACTGAGATTGCGACTGGCACTGCAATTTCATCTCTAAGCCAAATGCCATCCTGACTTGGAACTATTTTACTATTGCTTCAGTTTGCCTCAGTTGGGTCAAAATCCTGGAAGTCCTTTTCCTAACAGCTCTGGGGGTGTATCTACCCTTCATAGCTTGCAGCAGTTCAAGAAGTTCATCACCACCTTCCTAAGTGAAACCAGGGATAGGCAATAAACCACCAGCATTTACAGCACACGAACAGATAAAAAAAACAACCTCTGTTTGAGGTTAATGATGATGGTTGGTGCAGGAATTGGAAGAAATTCAAATCAATACAATGGGGTGTTTGTATTAAAATATCTTGTTAGCACAGAACAGAGAGGAATACGGAACCCTAAAGTTTAATCTTGATAGTAGAAAGTAGAGTGAAAATAAAGCCACAAATACTTTGTTTAAAAAGGAACACCTTTAAATAGTTACACTGGTTTATTGTTGTATTTTCATTAATAAATCTTCTCCCAGAACTAATGAGGGAAGTAGTCATTTCTGGATCATGCTCACCTTTGATAAAGATTTATAGAACACTAAGACCAGAACAGGGCAGTGAAAAACAGTTTGATTCATCCCACATCACAGACAATACAGATTGAAAGTCAGTTAAGTGTAATTCAATTTAAGAACTTTGGTTCCACACATAGCCAAACATTTACTTCCCACTGAGTACTCATGAGGCAACTGCTCCCTGGAGGATATCAGTTACTTTGCACTGAAGGATCTTCCAGTAGTTCTACAGTGTTAAACTTAACCACGCAGCTTTTCCTTCTACGAATAAATTAAGCCAATGAAATGAAGTCTGTGATCCTATCTTTGTCAAGAACATTCTCTTTTAATTTTAAAAAAAAGTTGTAGGCAAAAAGGAAGACTATGCAATAAATTGGAAGTGAGTAGTTATAAGCACCTATGAGCCTCAATATAAATAGATCACATTGGTGGTGGCCAACTAAGGTTGACCCTATAATGTGTGTTCACGCCTCCATTCAATTTGAAAACCAATGTTACTTTGAATTGAGAGAAGTTGGTCACTCTATTTGAATTGGCAACACTGCATGACAGCATGGCTCAGTGGGAACATTCTCACCTCTGTGCCGGAAGATTATGCATTCAGGCCCTTTTGGACATTGCCAATAGAGTACACTGATTCCCCAGTGGAGTACTACACTGCCAAGATACTGACAAATCTTGTGCAGGCAACAGAGATCTCAGTCATTGGCTGGAGGGCTGATGAGAGCTCCATGCCATCAAGAAGTGCCAATCAGGCTATTGACACGTCAATCAAGTGCGCAGGGACATATGCCCTGCCAACTAGGATTTGCCAGTCAATCACAGTCTATTGATTCCACCGAACAATGGTTGCAACAACAGAGACAGTAGCTTTTTCTAGTATGAAGTGGCCACCTGAGGCTTTGGATTGAGGCGAGATCAAAGCACAGATGATTGTTGTTGGGGACAGGGTGGGAGGGATTTGGCAACAAAGATAGAAGGTGGTAACTCTCACATTTTCTTAAGCCAGGGTGCTTCAATCAGGCACCAAGTACCTTGAACAAGGGATTCTCCCTGCTCCCCTCTCCTCACACATCCCAGGAACGTACTAGCAATCCTACATGGGTTTTGTCTGCTATACTTTCTGTACAACAAGTCTCCATCTCACACTGGATGAATAGCAGCAGTGGTGGGTTGAAGCTCTTAAGTTATTGCCCACGTATGAGGGCCTTGATTGGCAGTGGGGCAGAAAGGCTGTCCACTGGTTTAATTAGGCAAGAAGACAGAGGGGTACCCACACCTGCCAACTGCCTGCTGGATTGAATGGCCTCTCTGCCAACAAAGTCACTGTGGTGGAGGGCATAAGATTCCATCTGCTGTCTCTTGGATTGCACGTTATACTGGAACCCTGCCTGCCCTTCCAAAGGGCATAACAAAAACCCTCATGTTCCTTCATGACTACATTAAAAGAAAATTAGTGGCATTTCTGTCAGTGTCATGGCATTTTGACAACTGGCATTCTTAAAATAGACCACTATAGTGGGAAGGCATTATCATACTGCTGTTTATAGGAATTAGCTGCACATAAATACTGTTGCACATTGCATGTTACAATAGAGACATTACATTTCAAGAGGTACTTAAATGGCTGTAAAGTGTTTTGGGACATACAGTCATAGAATCATATAATCTGGAAACAGATCTTTTGGTCCAACTAGTCTATGTTGACCAAGTTTCACAAGTTAAACTAGTCCCACCTGCTTGTGTATGGCCCATAACCCTTTTAAACCTTTCCTATTCATGTACCTATCCAAATGTCTTTTAAATGTTGTAACTATGCAGGCATCTTCCACTTCATTGGCAGTTCATTCCACATATGAACCCACTTTCTGTGTGAAAATGTTGCCCCACTGGTCCCTTTTAAATTTTCTCCTGAAAAATATGTCCTCTAGGTTTGAATTCCCCTACCCTTGGGAAAAGGCCTTTGCTATCACCCTGCCTATGCCTATCATGTTTTATAATGTAAATCTGTTCTGAACCCTTTCCAATATAATAATATCCTTCCTACAGTAGGGTGGCTGAGACTGTACGCAGTACTCCAAAAGTGGCCCAAACATAACAGGATGTCCCAACTCCTACATTCAATGGTCTAAGCAACGAAGGCAAGCGTGCTAAATCCCTTATCCTCAAAATAGTGAAAAGTGCTAATAAATGCAAATTTTATTTGTTTTATCAATATTATCAAGTCACCCACGAATATACGTTTTGAAGGATTAATTCATGCTAACCTGATCAATGGGCAGCTCCACCTGCGTTTGGTTATCTTCTTGAACTTCTGTTGCACCCATGGTCTCTGTTCTTTCCTCATAAGCTTTAAACACACAGCCTTTGGGAGCGAAAAGAAAGTGAAAATAGCTGAAATTTAACTGATGCCAGAGAATGTACAATGATACAACAGTGGCTACCTGTGGTGTAAGGCAAGAACTGCACCTCAGTTTTCAGCAACGGATGAAAAAACACTTCATAAGGATACCTGATCATCAGTTTGATCACGTTGAATGAACTTGGATAAAGAAAAGATCTTTTAAGGTGCTGGGAGAGACAAATGTGTAAATTTTCAATTCATGTTTGACAGAACATAATTGTTATTTATTATTTGAAGAAGTATGGATCAGTGAGAATGGAAAATACATTATCAAACTGATCCAACCAGTAATGATCACAACAGCAGGCTGTTATCACTATCTTGATACACTCTGAACGTAAATAGTGAAAATGGGCAGTACACAACATTGCTAGGCAAAATTGGAAACTCTTACATTTTTGCTGCAATTGTGTCTGTGCATTGGGGCCACTCTCCACATCTGCTTGCCTTTGCCTGTTTCCCACTATGGCTTTCTTTACCTCTCACACTTTCAATCACTGTTGTCGCTACGATCACAAAATTTGATTGTACAGTGCCTGTATTTTGGTGGCACAGGTAACCATTTTGGTAAGGGCATTAAGCACTAGTACAGGAAGAGTTGTTTTTAACTCATTCTCAGCATGTGATCTGCTAGCAGAATGCAGTTAATAGTCAACCACATTGCTGTGGGTCTGGAGTCACAAGTAAGGATGGCAGTTTCCTTCTCTAAAGAACATTAGTGAGCCAGATGGGGCTTTTTCAAATGACAACAGTTTCATGGTTATCATTAGACTCTTAATTCCAGATATTTGCCATGGGTGGGATTCAAATCCAGATGCCCATAATAGAATCTGTGTCTCTGGATTAGTAGTCCAGTAATAATATCATCAGGCCACCACCATCCCAATGCAACAGATGTACACAACAAAGAACGATCACGATGTGTAATGGTAAATTGATGTCATTGCTGAACAATTCAGCTAAGGTCCTCTCCTAACTTCACAAGGCTTCACATGCAGTCAGCAGCAGAAAAGATTTCCCACCAGTGCCAATTATATGGATTATCAACTACTTTCAGATCAGTCACTGATTGATTTCTACAACAGTCATAGAGTGTTACAGCACAAAAACACACCCTTTGGTCCAACTCATCCACGCAGACCAGGTTTCCCAAACTAAATTAGTCCCATTTGCCTACATTTGGCCCATATCCCTCTTAAATCTTGCCTATTCATTTATCTGTCCAAATGTCTTTTAAATATTGTAATTGTACCGACCTCTACCAATTCCTCTGGCAGTTCACTCCATATAAACACTACCCTCTGTGTGAAAAATTTGCCCTTCAGGTCACTTTTAAATCTTTCCCCACTCACCTGAAACCTATGGTTTTGAACTCCCCTACCCTCAGGAAAAGACCTTTGCTATTCACCTTATCTTTGCCTTTCAAGATTTTATAAACCTCTATAAGGCCACCCCACAACGTCCTACGCTCCACGGAAAAAAGTCCCAGCCTTATCCAGCCTCTCCTTATAATTCAAACCCTCCAGTCCAGGCAACATCCTTGTAAATCTTTTCTGTGCCTTTTCCAATTTAATAACATCCTTCCAATAGCAGGGTGACCAGAACTGTATGCAGTACTCCAAAAGTAGCCTAGCCAATGTCCTGCACAGCTGCAAGATGACATTCCAACCTGTAAACTCAATGTTCTGACTTATGACAGCACCTGTAACAGATGGCTTTTTCAACACCCTGTCTACCTGTGATGCCACTTTCATGGAACTATGTACCCAAACCCCTAGGTGTCTCTGTTCAACAACACTCCCCTGGGCCCTACCATTAACTGTGTAAGTTTGTCTTACCAAAACATAACACCTCACATTTATCTAAATTAAATTCCATCTGCCACTCCTCGCCCATTGGCCCAGCAAATCAAGATCCCATTGTATTCTTAGATAACTTTCTTCACTGGTCCACCATACCACTAATTTTGGTGTCATCCATGAACTTACTAACCATGCTTCCTATATGTTCATTCAAATGATTTATGTAAATGATGAACAACAATGGACCCAGCACCAATCCTTGTGGAACACCATTGGTCACAGGCCTCCAATCCGAAAAACAACCGTGTACTACCACACTATCTCATACCGTCAAGCCCATTTTGTATGTAATTGGCTAGCTCTCCCTGGATCCCATGTGATGTAACTTTACTAACCAATCTACCACGTGGAACTTTCTCAAAGGTTCATGTAAACAATGTCTACCACTCTGCCCTCATCTATCCTCTTGGTCATGTCCTCAAAAAACTCAATCAAGTTTGTGAGACACGATTTCCCATGCACAAAGCCATGCTGACTGTCCCTAGTCATTCCTTTCTTCTCCAAATGCATGTAGATCCTGTCTCTCAGAATCCCCACCACTGACTTCAGACTCAGCAGTCTGTAGTTGCCAGGCTTCTCCTTACAGCTTTTCTTAAATAAAGACACAACATTAGGCACCCTACAGTCCTCCAGCACCTCACCTGTGGCTGTAGATAATACAAATATTTCTGCTAGGGGCCTGGCAATTTCTTCCCTAGCTTCCCACATTTCCTGGGATACACTTGATCAGGTCCCAGGGATTTATCTACCTTTTTCCATTTCAAGACCTCTAGCACCTCCTCTTCTTTAAGGTGGACTGTTTTCAAGACATTACTATTTATTTCCCCAAGGACCCTAGCTTCCATGTCTTTCTCCACAGTAAATACTGACACAAAATATTCATTTCGTATCTCACCCTTCTCCTGTGGTTCCACACACAAACAGCCTCATCAATACATAAGGGGCCCTATCCTCTCCCTAGTTGGTCTTTGACTGTCAATGTACTTGTGGAATCTCTTTGGATTCTCCATAACCTTATCTGCCAAGTCTATTTCACATTCCCTTTCTGCCCTCCCAATTTCCCTCTTAAGTCTCCTTGGGTGACGTGAAGGGGTCTTTGTTTCACATATGATATTTACTATAGCTCAGTATAGAATATAAATCACATCCTTTGATTCATCATTCATCCTTTGTTTCTGTTTAGTATTATATCTCATTGAAGAATACACACAAATTTTCCAGCTATCTAAAAGTCTTATTGTATGCTTTTTAATGCATCACAGCCTTGTTTTGACAGATGTCAAAATATTTGCCAGTATCGAACAGCAGTTTGCAATCTTAGCCACCTCAATTTATGCAAATCAATTCTATTGAAATATTACCTCTCGAGGATGATAAACTTTAAATTGATTACCTTTACTTCCTTGGGGATTTCCCCTCAAGACCAATAAGACCAACAGGCAAGCATGAACAATGACATATCACAACATCATTAATTGTTTTCTTTTTCTATTTAAAAGCTCCCAGTGAATGATATCTTCATAGGATTAAGAATTGTTGGTCTAATTGTCCAACTGTAATAAACTTGGAACTGAAGAAGTTGCTACTTCCAAATCACTGACTTCCTATTGTTCCACATGCTGTGTTGTTGAGTTCCTCATGGGTAGCAATCTTTCAAAATTATGAACTGTTTAGAACTTTCCATTTTATGTTCTAGTATCACTTTTAGAAGCACCTGTAAAAGTCAGGCACTGTTGCTGAAATATAAATGACTCTCTGGAGTTGTAAATTAAGTTTTATATTTGTATGATGCCAAATAATCTGATAAGTCTCTATAATTTTGAATAAATGTTTTAAAAGAATTCATTGCATTCACTTATATAAATGAGTTAGGTCCCAATCTTTATTTCTCCTCTCCTGATTTGCTGTCTCTGACAGTTCTTCAATGTGACTGGCTGCCTACTCACTTTAATGATATCAGTGTTGTTGAACATTTGAAGATGCCTTTGACTTAGTACCTTATTCAAACTAACATGAGGAAATGGAAAATCCATACAATAATGATTGCTTGATCTTTGTAGGCAATTTTCTTCACAGTCAGCTGTGAGCAGTATTGCTTTACCAGCGACCGCAAAATCTGGGTCAAGAAGCCAGGTTAACACCAGAATGGCTTCTCTTCCATTGACACTTTAGAACCAAATGAACTAGATACAGAATTTTGGGCAAGTTAATCACACAAAAGCCACCCAAAGATTTTCCCATGTTCTAAGTAACACCTAATCACAAGAGCTGATAACACTACCCAATTAAAAGATCTAAGAATACCTTAACATTTTGTGCTTAAATCATGGGAGTTTCTGGAATTTTCTCATGTTTGTTCATGGATGTGGGTGCTGCTAGCTGGGCCAGCATTTATTGTCCATCCCTCATTGCCCAGAGGGCAGTTAGGAGTCAAGAACATTGCTGTGGGTCTGGAGTCACATGTAGGCCAGACCAGGTAAGGATGACAGGAGAGATAATTATTCCTTTCTCAGCAGAGAGAAGCAAGCCATGCAAGCAAGCATCTTCACTTTGATTGCAGAGAGAACAAGCATTTTCAACATGATTGCTGAGCGAGCAAACATGTTCATATTGATTGTAGAGTGAGGAAATATCTCCATCTCGATTACAGAGTGATCAAGGATCTTCAGCTCGATTACACAGTCAGCAAGGATCTTCACTTCAGTTGCAGAATGAGTAAACATTCTCACTTCAACTGCAGAGCAAGCAAAACACCTTAACATAATGACAGAGTGAGCAAGCATCTTCACCTCGATTATAGAGTGAGCAAGAATCTTCACCTCAATTGCAGAAGGTGTAAGCACCTTTAGGGCGGCATGGTAGCTCAGTGGTTAGCACTGCTACCTCATAGCATCAGGGTCCCAGATTCGATTCCACTCCCAAGTGAATGTGTGGAGTTTGCACATTCTCCCCGTGTCTGCATGGGTTTCCTCCGGGTACTCTGGTTTCCTCCCACAGTCCAAAGATGTGCAGGTTAGGTGGATTGGCCACACTAAATTACCCATAGTGTCCAGGGATGTGCAGGCTAGGTGAATTAGTCATGGGAAATGCAGGGTTACA